GTTGAAATGTGTAAAACTTTCTAAAACTCTTTAATTCTCATGTAGACAATTTCAACATTTAAATACAATAGATATAATTTCCCTAGTTCCACAACTTAATTAAAAGCATCACACAACGTTTGATTTGTACCAGAAATATTTCAATTGACTCAATTAAAAATTTCGACTCTTTAAGAAGAAATCTAGAGGGAAATATAAAAGTTTAAATTGGCCAGAAATACTTCTCTCAATGGGTTAATTTAAATGTATGTTCTCTATCAAAGTTAACTAAAATTCTACATGTGTAAAGTCTGAAAAGTTTAAAGTATATTATACCGCTACATTTCTAAGCCATTAACTCATAATATCAGCCATACTATTCAGTTTTTAAAAAGGATTTATGAAAAGATTACCAACAGAACATTGTCTTTCAGGAACACCAGGAGATACTGTGACTAGATTGCTATTCCTTCACTTTTCCCCATGAATGGATTCTTGTCAAATTACAGAATTTTTGTGAAAATGTTATAAACAAAATCACCAGTGACCAATTATTCAGCTGATTTTTTCCGTCATTAAAGCCTAAAACTTCCCCATATTTACATGCACCAAGAAAACCTGCATGGGTACGGATTTTTGGATTTGAAAATACGGAAGCAAAACAAAGAAACTCATTTGGTATAAATCTAAGATCAGTCAATCCTTTTAAATTAGAAATGGGATAAAAACTATTTTTAATTGCCAATATCCCTTTTGCAGATCTAATCGTTGAATCATTTGTAAAATGTTCACTTGAATTTATTATAGAGCTTGTATTGCAAGACAACGTGTTCATCTACATTATTGTAAATATCTTTGCTGAAATCGACACAGATTCGACATTTTTTGTCCTTTTGTATGAAAATAAATTGGATAAACAATGATACCCATCTATTACAATTTTAAGTCCAGACTAAAATTATATTAATAGAATTATCTATGTCTAAGGCCTGATTGACAATGTATTTTATTATAAAGATTTGATAGTTAAGTAATGTATATTAAGGGATGACAGTAGACTAATTCAATTGAGTTCAATTTAATAAGATACAGATTTTCAACCTAAATTAAATCAATGATGAAATTCGATTATAATACAGACGGCAATTTAGAATAGGCTCAAATTATGTTGTTGTTTTTTCCTATAATATACTCATGTTCTTTAATCAGCAGTAATGAATGATGAACTGAACTAATCCTGTGGAAAATATTTTTAATTCTCATTCGCACAATATTGTGATCTGTTATTACGCCAATGCACATAATGTTTAGCATACATTTAAACCAAGAAAAAACATAAATGTGTTTCATGAAACAGACATTGATATTGTGATGAATCAAAATTATTCTTTTATCTTTTTGGCTTTTATT